ACAACAAAAATAAAAAAAAAAAAAGTCTCTCTCTCTCTCTCTCTCTCTCTCTCTCTCTCTCTCTCTCTCTCTCTCTCTCTCTTCATATGACCTTAATTTTGTCAAGCCTTAACCATACTGACCTAACCTTTTTCTGGCTTTGGAAGAGAATTGGCATTGGTTATTCTGGGTTTTTCGGGCTCTTTGGCTGTGTTCAGAACACAGCCAAAGAGCCCGAAAAACCCAGAACAACCATTATATCCCGGCCGTGAAAGCCTTCATGAATAATGAATATAGGTAATTGGCATTGTTTTTGATAATTTTGTGTTTGATACTGTTCCCTGTTTTTCTGTTCATGCACAAACAAAGCTGCATCTAATATTCCATCCTAGGTAGTAAGCATGGGTAGTGAACTCCTTAGCCCTCAGTTGGGTAGCCATCTAACTGTCTGTTTCAGCTAAAAGGTGAAACTGATCTGAGCGACGTTGCTTTCCCTGTTATAATGCATGCATGCACATTTTTGTCCCTTTGTCACCTCTGTTCAAGGTTTTATTATTTTGAAAAAAGAACAACTAACCTCTTCAGCAAAGGTAAAAGTGGAAAGCATATCTATCATTTGCTCTAGGAGTTTTATTGAGTTGTGGGATGTAACTGTCTCAAGTAACTTAAATAGTTATTTTCCACTCATCTGCAACATTAAAGAGAGGTGTGGATAACTATGATCTCTAAAGTAAATAGCTCCTGAATGCAGGAAAATGAAGAATTTGAGTGAAATCTAGGCAGGCAAAAGCCTTCACTTTTTTCCTTTTTTAATTATTTTTCAGGAAGGTTGCTTCAACCAGATACGGGCAGGCCTCCACACTTACTATGGCTACCTCTCACACATTAGCCACATCCTACCAAATCAGGCTAACAGAGTGGCCAGTCTCCAGCTGGACAGCTCAAACCTCTCCACCAATATCCAACAGCAGGTAAGATGACTTTTGCAGCTTGCTCAGATTTGGTTGGGAATAGCGGTATATTAGGTGCTCATCATTAAAATCCCCATTGTAATACCACCCTACTCCTGCCATAAGGAGAATCCCAAAATACAAGCTGTTGGACCACTCCATGTAAACAAGCAGGAAACAGGACTTTTGTACAGTTAATGGCTCTTAGTTGCTCATTCTAGACGAAATCAGCCTCATTACATTACAACAGAGGTAGCTTGTAATCGTATATTACTCTTGAGGATTGCAGCAAAATTCAGAGGGAACAAGGAAGGCTAACAACAGTGGTGATGGTAAATGATGTCATAGCTAGAAAGTATCAGGGCTTCATCCTGCAAATACTGCCTCTACTATATCACTATGAATAGAATTAAATGAAGAGGCTGTGATTCTAGAAGGGCAACAGGAATGCTGGGACAAAACATCCCATCTAGGAGCTTGGTAAGAGCATCCTTATTATAGGACTGAACAAAGGCCTTATATGTTGTTTATAATCTTAGTTCTTTATGTTAAATGGTGAGGAGGAAGAGGGAAAACAATGATAACCCAACAAGGCTGCATGGCTTTTTGTGTCTATAGCAAAGTGAGTGAGGCCAACTCTGTGCCAATGCAGGATGAAGATGGGGTAGAAAGCAAAGACCTCAAGTCCTCTTACAAAGAGGATCTTCACTTCCACGCTTAGCCCTACATCACTGCTTTTAACAAATCTAGTTGGGGTTGGGGACAACTAGGGATGCAGGCCTCTCTCATCATGACTGTAAGGGGTATTTTCATACGGCATTTGTGGCTTGCTAATGTGAGGTGTGTTTTTTTTTTTTTTTTTTTTGAGTCCTGGGGGTTTACAAATGTGAGCTCTTCTTTTCCTTCTCTTCTGCAGATGCAAGAAAGTGGCCTGAGCGCCGTCACCTACCCTCAGCCCGAAAGCCAACCTACTTTTGTGCAAACTCAACGAGAAATTGGAAGTTATCTCGTCCTCCGCAACTTCTTGAAATTCATGGATATCACTTACCGGGCTCTGAGGCACTGCAGTGCATAATGGGCAGGACAAGAGGGAAGATGCTCCCAAAGATGTCCGTGGGGGGCGGGATAGAGAGAAGGGCCCCTGGCAAGCCTCATTGCTTCCAATGGGTCTTCTGTTGTCTAAGAAGCAGACTGAAGGGAGGAGGGGTCTTTCTTCCTCAGTGGACTGCTCTGAAAGCATTTTAGCTTCTTAATTTTATTATTTATTTATTTTAAAGGCGTCCAGGTGATATTTTTTATTGAAAGAGGTATCAAATAAAAATCTAGTAGCAAACAACACCCCCACCCCCGTAATTGCAAAAAGGAGCTAGTTTGATGGCTGACCTGTTGGTGTTTTCCTCCTTCATTTTCAATCAACAGGAAATATTTGCGGTGACTCCCTTGTACTGAACTAATCTTTTTTACATTGGTAGCCAAAACTGGTACTAAATTCTAATCCTTAACTAAATGCATGCAAACCTCTCTACATTTGGCAGAAACTCTTGATGGACTATGTTAAATTTCCTGCCCTTAGGAGTTTCTAAACACTGGCTAAACATCTTAAGAGGCTAATACAGGGAGGTTTGTAGCAACATGTTTTCAGATGTGCAAAGTTAACTGGAGAGTCTTTCTGCAAAAGCTGTAGTGACAGACTATTGATAGAGGGATTAATGAGATGTCAAGCATTTGGCATTAACAAAAAAGGGCTCATTCTTCAAATATTTTTTAACACGACAGTGTTGGATAATTTCAGAATATTTGTTCACACTGTTTGCATGGAATATCTTTTAGGTGATTATTTTTATGGGATAATCGCTGCTGAAATACCCTTTGCTGATATCCTAATGGGGTCCTTTTAAATTTTTTTTATTTAATAGGTTTATTTATTTATTTTTTATTTATTGCGTTTAAGCAACCCCAGTGAATTCTAAAGTTGGTCTGTGATTCTTTCATTTCTTGGTACTATAGTATTTATAGTTTATTTAATATTTATATGCATGCTATCAGTGATGGGATCTTTGTATTGTTGAAGAAATTATCATAGACAATGGGGTCTCAGCAAGGCTTGAATGTGGTAATACAGTCTTGCTGTGGCACATCTGTCCAGATATACCATGTTAAACTACTGTTTAATATTTAAACATAAAAGTACTGGCTGTTGGTAGCTGGACCAAATGTCAAGGTGGTGAACAAGGATAGTTCTTTGACCACCTTTGCTAATCTCTTGGGCACACTATGTAGTGCAATGTCTTCTTTTGTAGATAGATAGTGCTTAACATTGGGTTGGATCCAGCTTTAGTTCTGATAAGATGAAACTCAAGTGAATTTGAGATAAACACAACTAACTGAAGCCCCATTGCTTTCGATGGGTTTACACTGAGTGGGGTGGAAGCTGGATCCAATCCACAAATGGCCAGTAGCTATAGGCTTCTGATGCACATTGAGACAGGGTTAGTATAGAGGTGAGAAACATTACCTTTTTGGATTACAGTTCACCTAATACGTACAGTGCAGGTTGTAATCTGAAAAGTAACGTGTCTCATTTCTGGATGGGTAGATAAGATTTTTGAAATGGCTAGCAGAACTGGATGCAGCCATTAGACCCCCCCCTTTAGCAACATTTTGGCCTGAGATATTCTTCTCTACCGGGGGCAATCCAGCACCTGCCTAACCTTCCAGATATTGCTGGACTACAGTTCCATGTTAGTCATGCTAGATAAGGCTGATGGGAACTGAAGTTAAACATCTAAAGCAGTGCTTTCCATCTTTGGGTCCCAGATGTTCTTGGACTACAGCTCCCAGATATCCTGGTCAACACAGCTCTTGGTGAAGGCTTCTGGGAGTTTTAGTGTAAAGGCTAAGGTTGGGACCCAAGGTTGGAAACATTGATCTAAAAGCAGTGGTTCCCAACCTTGGGTAATCCAGGAGTTCTTGGACTAAAACTCCCATAAGTTTTCACTACTAGCTGTGCTGGCTAAGATTTCTGGGAGCTGCAGTCCAAGAAAACCTGGGTTACCCAAGGCTGGGAAGAACTGATCTAAGGGATCACAAGTTTCCAATCCCTATACTTCCCCATTTACATTACTTTCTATCTTCATAGAAAACAAGGGTGGGAAACTTTTGACCATTCAGATGTTTTGACTCACAGTCTTATCCCCCACCTCCACACAAAGATAAGGATAAGGGACTGTGAGAGCAGCAGCACAAAAGATCTGAAGGGCCAAACTTTCCCTGCCACTGATCTAGACCCTTGTGTGATGCCCAAGAGCTTGACCAAGGCTCAAGATGGCCCACTCCTTTAATGTGTCCTGCCTAGTTTTGTCTGGCAGTGGCAGGTGATAGCACTCCAATGAACACCAAGTTGCTTCACATTTCTGATTGGGCTGGCCTTGCCTTTACACATAGCTGTGCCCACTTGCTATTAAGAAATGTATAGTAGTGCACACCTCAAAGAAATAGAGGATAATTTAATAATTAGCCAGAGAATATATATTTATTTTTGGACAAAATCATATTTCTATGATTATGTATTATGCAAGATGATTTTACTGAATGTTACATGTGTAACTTGAATGTATGATTTTTAAAACTAGGATTTTTTTAAAAAATTAAATGCTAGAATTGTTTCTTGAGTTGTTGATTTGCACAAGTCATTTTTGTATGTCAGAATGCTGGGTGATACAGGGTATTACTTTAAGATTTCAATGCACTGTAGCTAAATGTTCTGCAATTCAAAGTTTGCACAGTGCCATGCTTCAGAGTTTCCTGTTGCAAATGTCTGCAAGAGAAAGCTGCTCAAATTATATAAGTGCTGTAGCGAGGCAAATGAAAAATATCTGTCTCCTTGTTCAGAACATCAACCTCAACCTGAAGCATTTCACAGCTGTTTTCTATCCATGATTTAATTGTTGACTTAAATTGTTATATGAGTAATTAATTTTATATTGTCTGGTTTTAATACTTTCACTGTATCTGTAAGCTGTTCAAGGAATTTGAGCAGTGAACATATAGGAAAATAAATTATATAAATAAAATCTGCAACTATTTATTTAAACATGTTGTGTGTGTGACCATTTATTTAAATATTTTGTGTCATGATACCATGAAGACAAGATCTACTGCAAAAGACAATGCTAGCAAGTTTAAAGCAGTAGGAAAAGAGTCAAACATTAGATGGATTGACTCAAAGGAACCACCTCCTTTAGTTTGGAAAACCTGGGCATCTAATGACAGGAAACTTAGGAAGTCAATTAATTCAAAGGATTGCCACATCTCAGAAATGATTTGATGTCACATAACTAGAACACATCAAATAAAACGAATATGGCAATACATTTTTAAAACCAGAATTGGAATAATTGAACATTAAACTACCACTTAGCATTATTTCTTATTACAATGTCCTTAGTTCAGTGGTAATATCAAATGGTTTTTAGATTAAGTTAGATATTAAATGTTTCTGTGACTTCTTTCAAGATGTGTGTTTTATGATGTAGGGTACATCTATATATTTATAACTAGTGTTGAGGGAAGAAATAAAATGCATCCTCTCTCTACAATCCATCATGTAGTTCAAACACACAAGCTTATCAATTAAGTCAGGGTCAAGAAGCTGAAGTATGAATGAAGAGTAATCGAGTCTGGGAGTAACTCATTGAGAAGAATGATGTGTTAACTTTGTGGCTGTGAGTGTAACCTGGAAAGTCCCAAGCTGCTGACAAACCCATTGTCTCTTCCGCTCTTCCTCCTCAAGACCTGAGTGATACTTTCAGAAATCTCATCTCTGTTTGTTCTCCTGTGGCTACAAGTGATGTTGATCACATTCCAGTATAGTCAGGAAAGCAGGCTGACTCAGTCATTGTGGGAAACAGGTAGGCAAAGTGGAAGAGAAGGCAAGCAGGACCACTTAAGATTGTGCCATTTGTCCCATAATTCTTTAAGAATTCCCAGGGAGAATTCTGAGTGTCTTATGCTCTCAATAGAAAAGAGTTTACCCAATTTGGCCTATGCTGGCCTTCCTAGAGTGGTCTTTTAGACCAGATGGGCGGGATATAAATCAAATAAATAAATAAATAACATTCCTTCAGCTTAAGAGTTGTTGATGTTGATCTTTTCCTTATCTCATTTCCTTCATGACTTTCTCTCAGAGAAGACAGAGGGGGCATCTTCTGTTTTCTCTTGAGAGGTGAGATGAGGGAGTAGCCATGGCTCCCCATACCTTAGCTAGAACTAGGATACTGATTATCTTTTTTGTCACAATAATTTTTTTCTAATAATGCTAGTATTCTTAATATTTTCTTAACATCAGAATGTGGCTTCTTTCCAGAAGGGAAGGTGCGCTTGTACATTATTCTAATTTCACTCTTGATTGTTTTTTGGGGAGTGGGGTGCTGCTGATTTGAATAGGGTCCACATGAGCCAATCCTGTACTGAAGCAAATCAGAACGCCTTTGCTCTCCTTCCACAAAGACGTTTCTCTTCAGGCAGGCTTTCCCTTAGTGACTGTCTATCTGAGAGAGGTTTCCAAATGGATGGTTGTGCCTTGTTGCTTTGAAGTGTTTTTGATTTTAGTTTTTACTGTTTTAGTGTTTCATTCTTTTTTAAAAAATCTGTATACTTAGCGTTTCTCATGTTTAAATATTATCTTTATTGGTGTAAGCCACCTTGGTTCCTTTTTAAGGAGAAAGACAGGGTGAAAATATTTTAAATAAGGAAACAAAAATCTAGACCACCAGCTGGTGGTGGTGTAAAAAGAAACCCAGAAAGCAAGGGGATTTGTCCCACAGCGGTCCTGTTGGCACCAGTTTCAGCCTTGCCTTGTGTGAACACTGTAAGGCAATACCAATATCATGTATGCAAAGAAAAGTTGAAGAAACTCGTGAGCCACATGGGTGACTGAGGTATCTGAACTCAAATTGTCCCAGTCTAAATTGCCACTTTTCTGCGACCCAGAACATGAGAAGGCTGGAGAAGTATTCAAGGCAAAAGTAGAAGCACTTCGTACACATTCAAGGTTCTGCCTTAATTGTTTCATGAGTCTCAATGTTAAGCACTCCGAAAAACTTATGGAGGGTTTAGTATCGGAGTTGGTTTTAGATGCCTGTCCTTTTTGGGATGACAATGGTCTGATGAATTTAGTTGTGACCAAAAAGTAATTTACCAGTTTCTTATCAGCAGAGCAGAGCATTATAGCATTAGACCGCAACTGGGGAAATCCAAGTTCATAGTCTCTCTAAGCCATGAAACTCACTGGCTTATCTTGAGCCATTCTCAACCTGACCAATCCCCCAGGATTGTTGTGGAGATAAACCAGGCAGAAAGAGAGCCATGCATTTTATTGTTATTATTCTTTTAGTTGTTATATGTTTTGTCTAATTATGTAAACTACCCCGAGTCGTGTTGCCACTAGCTTGGGTGGTCTCTTAGCTAAACAAACAAGCAAACAAATGTATTCACCAATAAAAAGAGAAGGGTATGATGCCCAAAATATTGGGACTGTGGGAAGATAACCGGTGTTATTTATATCCCAAATTCCTGCTCTTCCTCACAAAAAAAGCCAAGATAAGGGATTCTACCTGAAATTCCACCTCCTTCAGGCATAGAAAGAGCCCAGCCATCATGTCCACCACAATTCTCCCTAAAAGGTGAAGGGAAGTTTTAGGGGGCAATTTTCCAAAAAGGATTACATCCCCTCCACATAGACTGACCACACTTGGTGTCCCAAGACGTGGCAGGAGAAAGCAGCAAATTGTTCCTAAGGAGATATATGTTCACTGAAATGGGTCTTAATGTGACAAAGAGAGCTTTTATAAGTTATTTAAATGTGTGGTAGTTGGTGAAAGTGGCTCCTGAAACAAAGAAACCTTCACTATGAGACTTGTGGATGCTAGGTCACTGGGTTAGGATCTGTTGAAGTTTGTCGTTTCATGTTTCCACTTCCCAGACTGTTTGTCATGATGTCAGACCCATTAACAACAAAGCTTTCCAACATTGCCTCATTATTCGGTAGTGCTTCCTGTTTGCTGTCTTTCTGGTAAGCAGGTCCAAAAGCAAGCACACAAAAGGAAAGTTTAAAAAAAAAACAGAACACCTAGAATTGTGAGGAGATCAGGACAGGAGGGCAAAATCTTGGGAAGGCAGAGAATCTATCTACCCACCTACCTATTATAGCACAAGAGAAAACAAGAAGGGGGAAATACTAGAAGTGGAAAGCAGGTGGAGGTGGGTGGAATGAAAAAAAATATTAGATGCCCCATTTACCTGTTTCAGACATCAGGACTGATTCAGTTGTGTGAACTTCCCAAAAAATACGTTTCCCAGGGAGTGTGTCCTGAGCATCATTCTGAGATGTCCACATTGTTCCTTCTTTCTTAAGAACATATAAAAATCTTCTGTGCAAGCAGCCTTTTCTAAATGAATCGGAGCTGTTTGCGTTACTGTGTGTGTTTCAATAAAAGAAAGATACCCCCCCCCCGAATTGCAGGGAGAATGGTCCATTACTGTATGTGTTTCAATACAAGAAAGATACCCCCCCCGAATTGCAGGGAGAATGGTATTTATTCTACCAAGGTGGAATACCTTGTCATTATTTGCATCTCTCTCTGCTTTTACCTCTATAGTAGTGGTTCTTTATTTTTGGGGGGGGGACGACAAAAAGAATCTGATGAAAACTTTATGCAACCTCCCCTGACAATACACATAAGTGCCCAATTTGCACCCCATTCACGAACCCTCTGAAGATCACAGGTTAAAATTCCTTGTTTTGCATACTGTACGTTTCCTATATTAATGAGACTTGCTACTAATGGTAACTTTGGATTCCCCCCCCCAAAAAAAGAGCTTTTTTAAAAATAAAATAGGGGCTGGCTGAATCAGTGACTTAGAT